GTTAAATGCACATATAGGTAATAGGTATGGATGTAATGGATAGAGACATTGCATTTTGTTGGAGAGATCTGGAAAGCTTCATAGAGGAGGCCTTGAAGGATGGACAGGATTTCAGTAGGTCAAAAGGTTAGGACACTATCAAGGAAGAGCATGGCATGGACAAGGGCATGAAGGTGAGAACATGCAAAGTACGATCTTAAAAGTTACTATCTACCATATGAACTACACTAACTTTTTCAGCTCCTGACAACTGTCAAAATATCATTTTAGATAATTTTGATCCCTCATTTACATTTTAATTCAGCCTTCTCTGACCCTTTTGTCACAGAAACATTTTATTTCTTGATTTAGTTCTAGCAATGAAGGTAGAAACTTGAAGCCATTGCAATTTGGGGGTATTAATGTAAATGTGAATTCCTTACTTGTACCTACTCTCTGTGAGATGGTTTGGAATACACTAGTACGTCTTTCTTTTCTATAATGATTTGGAAGATGTCTATTTTAATGATATCAGGATTATAATAATTTCAATCTCCTTGATTATCATTGCCCACTGTAAAATGTATGATGATCTTTAATTGCACTCTCTGTCAAGCAAAAGAATGTTATACAGAGGAAGCGATGGAACCTGGGAACTGATAAAAGTGTGTACTTTGTGAATTGTTACACATTGTGGGAGAGTTCCAAATGAATCTTTGTTCATCCCTTTATCTTCCTATTTTAAAATGCAGTCTATGACATACTTTGTTCTCTGAGGGTGGGTGGGATGGAGAGATTACCCCTCTTCAAGGTTAGCAAGTAATTAATACCATGGAATTGTTTGCACATAACCATCCTGAACATATCAGAATGATTGAACAGACTGTAAGGGTTTTAGAAAAGAAATTTAATTAATGAAAAGTGCAAATATCAAAAATTAGGTCAATGTGTGGGCACACAGAAATTGAAACAATGCTACTTTTTGAGATTGCCACGTGTGCTATGTAGACTGCACTGTTCAATGCTAGAGAATGGCATTCACGTCATAGTCTATGGAATGACATCCTTGTTGCTGGGTAGTGCACAACCTTCATGGCCATATAAGGCAGTCCAGGACATTTTCTGGGTTGTCTTTTGTTTGCTTATTGTGGCTGAGAGGGTCTCCTTGTCAAGATTCCCAGTGTTTGACTTCTGTCTTTCTTCCGGCTCTTACTTTTCCTGGAGCCCTGGCAGTGGATTTATTGGCAGCTCTATTATCTTGGGCTGTCTTTGGCTGTATCCTTGACTTCTTAGATTACCCTGAAAACTAGTGGTCATATACCCACAGTCTTTGTTGGGGGATTAATGGAGACATTTTCTCTGGATGCCAAAGTTTTCCCATACCTATGACCTTTTGCTTCAAAAAGAATCATATTTTGTCTTTGTATTAGGGTGACTACATAATATATTGTCCAATCAGAAACACTTTAAGATATATTATATGGTCATCTTAATACAAGAGCAGAANAAACTAGTGGTCATATACCCACAGTCTTTGGTGGGGGATTAATGGAGACATTTTCTCTGGATGCCAAAGTTTTCCCATACCTATGACCTTTTGCTTCAAAAAGAATCATATTTTGTCTTTGTATTAGGGTCTTTGTATTAGGGTCTTTGTATTGTCTTTGTATTGTCCAATCAGAAACACTTTAAGATATATTATATGGTCATCTTAATACAAGAGCAGAAAGAGTAAACACGATTCTCTAAGAAGAAGCTATTAGTAATGACAGTGGAATAACAGGTGTAAACTGGGACTGTCCTGGGCACATTAGGATGTCGGGTCACCTATCCTCTTTCTCCCAATTGATATGCAGTAGATTCACCTTTAAGAGCAGATTCTATAGTTTTAGAATATTTCCATTCAGTAAGTAAATAGGCATTGTCCTGCTGCCCCTGAGTTTGCCTTCACCATTGTGGCATTTCCCCTGGGACTCTCCAGACTTCCCTACTCTCTAGCATCTAAACTGGAAAACTTTCACATGGCTGGAGGCCTCTAGGGCCCTGCACTGGGGCTAAGGTTGGCATCTGCTCTTATAGGGGCCTATGCCATACCAGTTGCTAAATACTTTTGATATTACCTCAGCCCTTTTGCTATTTATTTGCAAAGCTCCCTTTCCTCTGTAACGTTCTTTGTCATTCTATATCAGTCCAGTCCCAGGACTGTGAAGACACCCAGGCTTCAGTTTGCTGTTTCATCCCTACATACATATGTGCCATGTTCAATTTTCTAGGTGTTATTTTACATACCTCATAAATAGCAAGATGTCTTTCTGACTCAAGAAGAAGGTATTTGATTTCGCTATCAACATCACAGAACTGCAGTGTGATTATAGTTACTGTAAGCATGTGGCTTTGAAAGGAGAGCTCTGTCTCTCTTCACAGTCACAGCATTGTAGAAAGATTGTTTTTGTCTGTGATTCTACCCCCCTGACTGGAATGTGAAGATAGCTGGTTATGTGAATAAGATTAGAAGAACTAGAGGAGAGTGTTAGAGTTAAGACTAAAAGGAAGGTAGAAAACTACTGTTTTCTTTGGTTAAAAATCACATACCAAATATTTCTAGTTACTGAGTCAAATTAAGACCTTCACAGAAGCAGTAAGGAAAAAAATTGAGATTTTTGTGATTGATGAAAAAAAACTCCCCTTTTTGGGAGCACCAAATACAAAAGTAGGATGAGATTCTCCCCTGCCATAAAGCAACTGTGAATTAAAGGGTAAACTCTGGATCAAGAGCTGATATTTTTATGGCTTTATATAAAAGTGAGATCTGAGATTTTTTAAAAAATTAGAGTTAATTGACAAGGACTTCATTGGGAAGTTGGTGTTTTTTTGGTCATGCGCAGAACTGAGATTAAGAAAGTCTAGGGATGTGGTAGAGCTGTGGAAAGAGCATATGATCTGGAATCAGGCAGATCTGGGTTTAAATTGCAGTTTTGCCTCTTGCTAAGTAACCTTTCTGTACAGTGACTTCATCTTAGAACAAGGCAAATCACACTTTCCCTATGACGTGGTCGAGATTCAACAATTTACTATAGACAGAATGCCTACTCCATAGCAAGTGCTTAATAAATTTGCACTTTAGAATCTGGGATATTCTAAATATCCGGAATGTGGGAAAGAAAGGAGTGGTTTTTAAGAAAGAGCCTAAGGCAAAGAGAAAGGAAGGGTCAAGTGTGACTGAAAACTTGGCTCTCCAGACATGCTGGTCTGTGGGGTGTATAAAGAGCTGGCAGAAGAGCACCTGATGAAGGAGGGAGAAGGAATGAAGCTGACACTCCCAGGGGAGGTGTCAGTGGTCAGCTGCCAACCTTGTGTATCAGGTTAAGATCAAAGAGCACCCTGGCGTATACATGATGCTCTTGCATCTGGGCATCAGGAGGAGACTTGCAGCACTTTCTGGAACTACAGTAAGAAGAAGAAAGGCATATTGTTAGAATGATTGCACCACCATAGGTCCATCTATACCCTTGTTGGGTTTACAGACTTGAGTCCTGTAAGAGCTATAGTATGCTTTAGAAGGCCCTTTGAACCACCTGAAATTGTGTGAAAATTTGGTATATATTTGTGTTTTCTGGTAACATGTTCCATTGCTTTCTTCAGATTCGACAAGAGGGTCTGATTCTTGTGCTCCTGGTACTTAACTCCCCAACACTCATCCCATGGCTCCTGCTTTGTATAGCAGTGATATAGTTTGGGGAATTAATTTCAGTTTTTGGGAGGATGTTCTTGATTTAAGTGTAATCCCGTTCGCCTTTCCAATAATTGGTTTAAGATTAGAGGTAATAGAAAAATAAATCTGAGCTACCTATCATCCAGCTTTTCTTCCCTTACTCTTGAGAGAGAAAAGCTGCTCTTCCTCTAAATGCACCTGTCTGAGGAAGCATGTGGCCCACCTTGGAAACTAGCCGACAACCACAAGAGGAAGAATCTAACACTGTGGAAGGAAGAGCAAAGAGATGGAAAGAATTGGAGTCCTCATAACATTGTTGAGCCACTGGTTCAACAATGTCCTGAAGCCTGACCCAGATCTTGCCTTCCCCACCTGTGAGCTAATAAATGTTCTTATTATTTAAACAAGCTTGAATAGCGTTTTCTGTTACTTGCAGCCATGCATGTCTGAATGCCACCCAAAGTTTGAGAGCTATTTGTTCACACTATGTTAAAAGGAGAGGAATTGTAGGAAATGCTTAAATGAACTGTTCAATATTTTAAAGCCTTTTAAGCATAACTGGATAATATTGTGTTTGTGTACTTTACCTCATCTACAGTGGTTAAATAATTTGTGCTTTTCACTCTGATGTAACTGTAAGAGTGCCCTTGAATTCTTCTATAGCGGTAAGGGGATAAAAGAGCACAGCCATATAAAAAGTAGTGGTGTAAAAGTTAGGGTGCATATGTGTGCGGTATTTAATTATGCAGTGTATACATTTTATGGAAACATAACTGTTCAGAAAAACTGAGGTAAAAAAAGATGTAATAGGGAGGGTCAATAATGCAGCTGCATCAAAGCATCACTGGGGAAGGAGCTGTCTGCTTTTAGGTCTTGGTCTACAGTGCCACTGCTAATCTTTGCTCTAGAGGTGACCCTTCTGTTTTGGTGTTTGGCATAGGTGATTGTAGTGCTCCCACTGCATGGGAAATTGTACAGTGTGTGGCATCGACCCAGCTTGTGCTCTGCCCCTCTTTTGAAATCTCTTTTGAAATCTGAAAAAAGCACAGCTAAATATACAAGGAACTCAAACAATTATATAGTAAAAAACCAAACAACCCAATTAAAACATGGGCAAAGGAGCTGAATAGACATTTTTCAAAGGAAAACATACAAATGTCCAACAGGTAGATGAAAAAATGCTCAACATCACTATTCACAAGGGAAATGCAAATTAAAACCACATTGAGATACCACCTCTAGACTGGCTAGAATCAAAAAGACTGAAAATAACAAATGCTGTGAGGATTTGGACAGAAGGGAACACTCCTACACTGTTGGTGGGACTGTAAATTAGTACAAACACTATGGAAAACAGTAGGGAGGTTTCTCAAACAACTACAGATAGATCTTCCATATGATCCAGCATTCCCACTTCTGAATATATACACAGAGGAATGGAAATCATCATGTCGAAGGGATAACTGCACTCCCATGTTCATCGCAGCTCTGTTTACAATAGCCAAGACATGGAAACAACCTAAGTGTCCATCAATGGATAATTGGATAAGGAAACCATGGTAAATATACACCGTGGAATACTACTCTGCCATAAAAAAGAATGAAATACTCCCATTTGCAACAACATGGATGGGCCTGGAGAAACTTATGTTGAGTGAAATAAGCAAAGTACAGAGGGACAAATACCTCATGTATTCACTCATATGTGGGAGCTAAGCAAGAAAAAAGGAAGGAAAGAAAGACCACAGTAGTGCATTGGACTTGCAGAGGGAGAGAACATTCTCAAGGCTACCAAGTGGGGGGGGGGGAGAGGAGGGTGGCTGGGAATAATTGGGTAGGGGACACGGGGTACAAATGCAATTTGTAGTAATGGCTATACAGCCAGTATGAATCTGGCCCCCGCATCATGGGGATGAGGGGTGACAATCAGCTTTGTATCTCATGAATATTCATAACCAATAAAAAACCAACCAAACAAAAATACCCCATCAGATTATACTCCATAACTATATACAATTACAATGTGTCAATTCAAATCGTAAAAATTAAAACACACCCACACACACACACAAAACCCCACAGCTAAATCCTAATCCAACTTCGGTGGTGCACTATCTACCCTGGATCTCACTGATATGCACCCCCTTATCCAGACCGCAGAACCCTGCCTGGGCTCATCATCTTGCTTTCTCTACCGAGTACACTTACTCTCAATTCTGTCCTCGATGCTGCCTTACTTGCATTTTGTCAATGACTTGGGTTAATGCATAGCAAGCATGTTATTCTAGTCTACAGATGATACAATGCTGGAGAAACAGCTGAACGTGAAACATTAGCTTTGAACACTTGTCTAGCGCTTACTATATGCACTCTTATATGTGTCTTATATAGATTATATCATTTAATTTTATTTTATAGATGAGAAACTTGGCACATAGGAGTATCAAGTCACTTGCCCAAGACCACACAGCAAAGAAATTATAGAGTTAAGGTTTAAAATCAAGTAGCCTGGCTTTGAAGTACACACTCTGAACCATTATGTTTTGATGCCTTCAGCGTGATGTAATAGTTAGGCCAATAGAATGGATTCTTTAGATTTGCTAAAATGAGAGGCAGAAAACAACAGGGAGGGAAAGGACCGACTGTAGTAGTTTACATGAAAAAGGACAAGTTTTTTAATTGGTTATAATCTGGGTTTGAACAGCAGAGAAGAAAACTGCTTCTAAAAAGAAAGCAGACTTTGGGCAAAGAAAAATGTGGTTCAGGAGAGAGGAGATAATTGCTCCATCATATTCTAATGACTCTGACCCATAGGATTATGCTGGAACATTTTATTCTAAATGTTAGAGTTCGTGAGCAACATTGGCAGGCTGAAGATGTCTAGTACATTAGCCAAAAGTATCTTCAGTCTGGTAACCATTTCATGTGTGGTGGGACAGAAGCTTAGCAAAGTAATACGAGGTTTCAGATATTTGAAGAATCATCACAAGGAAGAGATGTGGACTGTGAGGTTACAGGGTTAACATCTTAGGTCAAGACCAGGAAGAACCATCTAAATATTTACAGTCTTGAAAACGTTCAAAGACAATAAATACTAAGGGCTACCTCATCAAGTAGTGAGCTCTCAGGCAACAGAAGTTTCAGGAAGTATTTGGATGACCATTTGTTAAATACCTTATTTGTTGGGAAATAATATCAAATGGAACATGATTCCAACAAAATTGTTTCAAGAATCTGGCTTTTCAAAGGCAGTTTTTAGCCAAAAAAAAAAAAAAAGTTTTTCACATAGTTGTTAACTGGAAAACATCAAATTAGTATAGGCTTCTCGACACTCATATTATTAGCATATGTTGATGGGCAGTATTAGCAATAAAATATGAAAGAATAATACTTAAAATAAAACTTCTAAATTACTTATTATGTGTTTTGCAAAAATGTCAAAAACCCAATCTCAAATGAATGTTTTCCTGTTGCTTTAGTGTTTTTAAGTGCTTTGTCTTTGAGAAGACGTTGCAGTAAATAAAAGTGTGAAGGTGAAGTGGGTGAACACCCTGTCAAGATGCCCTGTCCAGGGAGCACACCTGTGATGAGTGAGGAAAGGAGAAAAGGTTAACATGGTTTGAGAGACGGATTCTGGGTAACCCCAAAGAACATGTCTGTGAGTCATCTATGTTCACAATTCTTTGAGCTTTGTCTATCCTAAGGGAGATGAAGCAATTACACAGACATAATGTCTTACCCTTCTCGTACAGTGCATTCCACATTCCTCAATCCATTCATCATCATCAGTGGTATTTGTGTTCAATGCTGTCATGCAGTTAGTTGCCAACAATCATTAAAAAGAAAGCCATAATGGTATACACTCAGGAGACAGAGCGAAACCAATTTTCACAATGTGTATTATAAAGACATCAATCCATTAAAGGGGAACATCACTGACGAGCTCTGCAAGGATACTTTTGCATCAAGGACTATCTTCAGAGCCTGAAGAAGTAAATGAAGTGATTATCTGCCGCTCATGATTTCTCTTCTCTGAAACAGAATCCACAATGGCTGCAAAGCTGCTGCGTGGTGGCTTTCTTCTCCTTTTGCTCTCCATTTTACCTGCATTCTCACTCACTGATTGTGAAAGCCTTGTTCTCTGGACTTTCCTCATGGCCTGCTTTTATTTTTAAAAAACAAATAATAAAAATATTCGAAGATTTCATTACCAGAGAAATTTCATGTAGCAAGCATCCTGTCTGGCACAGTGTTAGTGCTATTCCTCCCAACTTCTTAGAAAGAGAAAAGGAATGTTTAAAATATATTTTTCCCTTCCTTCTCTTCTCTTCTATCATCTCACCCTCTGTCCTCTTCCTCCCCCACCCCCTTCCTCCTTCTTCTCTTCCTCCTTCCTCTCCTGACCTCATGTTTTCCCTCAAAATGAAAGTTTCAATCCCAATTAGTTGTCTGATATTACTAATAAGATAGCACTTATATCATGCTTGCTATGTGCCAGGCAGTGTTCTAAGCACATTATATATATTAACTAATTTGATTTTCTCAACAACTGTAGGAGGTAGGCAGTATTTTATAGAAGGAAAACTGAGGCATCAAGAGGTTACATAATTTGCCAATGGTCATGTGGCCAATGAAGTCAGAACATAGTGCTGTGATTCCAAAGTCCATGCCCAAACCAGTGACATACGCCACTCCTCTAACTTTGGGGTCTTCCAGAGCAGTGACTTTCTCAGAGACTAAGGAAGAGAAGAACTAACACATACTGGGTTCCTAATTTGTGCCAGGCACTCAACATGTGTTATCTACTTAGATCTCTGCAGCAATACTACAAGTTAGGCATTATTATCCCTGCTATTATAGGCAAGGTTAAAAAAAAAACTTACCTAATATCACATTGTGAGCTACAGAAGCAGATTTTTATCTCACTGATTCTGGAAGTTTCTCTCTTTAGAACATACTAAATTAGCACCTGTAATTGGGAAAGCAGCAAGAGCCTTTACCTGAGGCCTTTTCTTTGGCATTGTCTTCTTGCTCATTCTGATACCCTGACCTCTTGGACATGCTAGAAAACTTGAACTGGCCGGTCAAGGCTGTATTTTCCTCCTTTAATCTGCTCTCAAGAATTCATTCTATTATCTGAGATACTTACAAAACCTACTATCTGATCCTGAGTCATATTGCCGACTCAGATCTGCATGGTACATCTTTTTCTCTTTGTTACCCCAAATCCTGACAGAATATTGAGACTCAATAATTAAAGGAGAACCATTTATACATATCAAATTATAAGAATTATTAGGCTGAACCATATGAAACTAATCTTTTTGTATATTAAAAAATCAAACGGTGCAATTTTATAAGGACCAACATTGTTTACATTTTATAAGCTCTATTTTTATTTTCATAATCCATATAAAAATAATGACAGAAAATACTCTTTTTAAGGCAAACATTATCGTATTACCAAGAAATAATTACTATGTTTTATATAATTTTATTTCCTGTATAAATAATAAGTTAGACCAAACAACCCTGGCAGTTAATGTCTGCCATACTGCTACATCTTTTTTTTTAATGATAATGAACATTTATTAAGTACTTAATATGCATCATGCTATCTGCCTTACATCCTTTATCTCATTTAGTCCTAACAATTACCCCATGAGGTAGGAATTACTAATATTCTCACTTGACAAATAGGAAAACTGAGCCTCCAGAGAGATAACAAATAAATAAATAAATAGATAATAGATAATAAATAATCTAGCTGGGTCCAAAGGCACACAGCTAGAATCCAGAGACAGGATTCACATCTCAGCTGTCTGATTCAAGAGCTAACAGTATGAAGTCTGAGGTGGTTGGTGGGACTCCTGGATGCTCTGGAAGGTTCTTTTTCACTTCTTCTTTCCCAGTTGCATTCAGACTTCTTGGTGAACTAAATTGCCTTCGGAGGTGCATGTGCTGCTACATCTTAAAGGAAGTTTAAAAAATACATTGAACTTCGTGAAATGAATAGAATATATCAAACTTTATTACATGCATTAAAGCAGTGATGAGAGGGAAATTTATTTTTTATTTTTTTATTTTATTTTATTTTATTTTATTTTTTTCCTTTTTGTCTCTTTTTTTGTGACCGGCAACGGATCACAACCCTCAGTGTCGCGCACGTACCGGACCGGGACCAGCAACGGGATCGCAACCCTCGGTGTTGCCCCCGCACCTCACTCAGCCAGTGAGCGGCCAGTCTGCATGTGGGATCCGAACCCTCGGCAGGAGCGCCGCTGCGCTTCGCAAGCGGCGCACTGTAGCAGTGCACCACCAGGCCGGCCCTGAGAAGGAAATTTATATTACCAAATGCTTACCTTAGAAAAGAAAAAAAGTCCGAAATCAATAATATAACTTCCTGTCTTAAGAAACTGGAAAAAGAATATTAAGATAATGCCACAGCAAGTAGAGTATGAAAATAGTAAAGATAAAAACAGAAATAAGTGAACTCAAAAACAGGAAAACAACAGATAAAATCAGTGAAATGAAAAACTGGTTCTTTGAAAAGCTCAGTAAAATTGATAAGCCTCTAGCAAGACTAACAACATAAAAAAAGATGCAAATTACCTGTATTAGTAATGAAACAGGGGATATCATTGCAGACCCTACAGATATCAAAAGAATAATAAAGAAATATTACAAACAACTCTACATACATAAGTTTTATACCTTAGTTGAACTGGACCAATTTCTCAAAAAGCACAAACTACCACAGCTCACTCAAGATGAAATAGATAATTTGAATAGTCCAATAAGTATTAAAGAAACTGAATTTATTATAATCCCTGCTTCCAACCTCCAGGCTCAGATGGTTGCACTGGTGAATTCTTCCAAACATTTAAAAAAGAACGAATATCAATTCTATACTAACTCTTCCAGAAAATAGAAAAGAGAGCACTTTCCAATTCATTTTATGTGGCAAGCACTAACTTGATACCAAAATCTGGCAAAGAAACTACAAGAAAAACAAAACAAAACAAAACTACTGAGCAATATCCCACATGAACATACACATAAAAATACTTAATAAAATATTAGTGAATTGAATCATGCAATATGTTATAAGAGGTAAGAAACAATAAATAAGTGTGGTTAATTACAGAAACCAAAGTTGGTTCAATTTTTGGAAATGAATGTAATCCATTATATTAACAGATTAAAGAAGGAAAACCACATGATGATATCAATTGATAGAGCAAAAGCATTTGAAATTTTTAATATTCATTTTCATAAAAACTCAGCAAATTCAAAATAGAAGGGAACTTCCTTAAGCTGATAAAAGGCATCTATAAAAATGTCATAGCTAACTTAATACTTAATGGTGAAAGACTAAATGCTTTAATAAAAAGGTAAAAACATTTAATCTCAACTCTTCTATTAAAAGTTATATCCAGTGCAATAAGACAAGTAAAAAAATAAAAGCATATGCATATAGGTTGGAAATGAGAAACAAAACTCACACTATTTATAAATGACATCATTATGTAGAAAATCCCAAGAAAACTACAAAAAAAGATCCTAAGATAAATAAATGAGTTTAGCAAGGTTACAGATTATAAAGACAACATATAATACCAATTGTATTTCTATATACTAGCAATGAACAATTGGAAACCAACATTAAAAAGCAATACCATATGACACCTCTATAAAAAAAAGGAACTACTTAGGTATAAATCTAACAAGATGTGCAGGATCTGTATGCTAAAAACTACAAAATGCTGATGAAATAAAATTTTTTAAAAAGCCTAAATGAATGGAGACACTGTGTTCATAGATTGGAAGACTTGATTATAGTTAAGATGTCTATTCTCCTCAAATTGACCTATAGATTTAACAAAATTTCAATATAAATTCTAGCAGAGTTTTTTGTAGATCTAGACAGTAGACAAGCTTATTTTAAAATTTATCTGGAAAGGCAAAGTAACTGGAATATCTCAAACAATTTCAAAAACAAGAAAAAGTCAAAATCTCAAAGTTATAGTAATCAAGAAAGTGTAATACTAAGAAATGGATAGACACATAGATCAATGGAACAGAATAGAGAGTCTGGAAATTTAGCCACACAACTATGGCTGAGTGATTTTTAACAAAAGTGCAAAGGCTGCTCAATGGAGTAAGCATAACCCTTTCAACAATTGGTGCTAGAACAATTGGACAGCTATATTAGCCCATTTCAGTTGCTTACAACAGAATACCTGGAACTGGGTAATATAAGAAAATGAAATTTATTACTTACAGTTTTGGAGGCTGGGAAGTCCAAAGTTTAGGGAAAACATCTGGTAAGGGTTTTCCATGGTGGTAGCTTTAGCAACACAGGGTATCATATTGCAAGATGGTGGAAGCAGAGAGAGAGCTAACCTCCTTAGTTGGCTCCTTTTAAAGCCATCAGAACCACACCCATGACCACCATTAATCTACCAATTTATTACTCAGTGAATGGATCAATCCATTCACTAGCGCATAGTCCTCACAATCCAATCACCTCTTCAAGTCCCCACCTTTCAATTACCATAAAAGGATTTCCCACTCTCCCAACAGTCACAGTGGGGATCAAGATTCTAATACATAAAACTTGGGGGACACAATCAATCCTTATCAAGAGCCATAGATCAAGAATTGAACTTTGTCCTAAATCTTATATACTCTCCCAACAGTCACAGTGGGGATCAAGATTCTAATACATAAAACTTGGGGGACACAATCTATCCTTATCAAGAGCCATAGATAAAGAATTGAACTTTGTCCTAAATCTTATATATTATGCAAAAATGAACTCTAATGGATTATATATCTGAAAGTAAAACAAAAAACTATACAACTTTTAGAAAGAAACAGAAAAAAATCTTCCTGACCTTAGGTTAGGATTAAATTGTCACCAAAAGCATGACCCCTGAAGGGAAATGTTAATAAATTGGACTTCACAAAATTAAAAACTGTTGTGAAAGACACTGCTAAGAGAATAAAAAGACAAGATATAGTCTGGGAGAAAATATTTGCAAATCACATATCCAACATCCAGTATATCTAAAGAATTCTCAAATCTTGACAATGAGAAAACAATCAACCTAATTAAAAAATGGATGGCAAATAAACACAAAGGGAT